TTCAGTTAAGTTGGACTAGACTGTAATACAAACCGTTCAGTTTGTCAACAATAAAACTGAAATGAGACAAAGACTGAGTGTGAGACTTTGATATTAGATAAATGAATATTGATAAAGTTTACCTTTATGTACAGAATCTGAATATCGCAAATTTTTTTAAAAATTGCAATAATATTGTAGCGTGCGTTAAGTATTGTGATAATATCGTATCGTGGGATGTATGGTGATTCCCACCTCTAGTATCCACAGTGTAATTTTGTTTGAGTCACCACTAAATATGAAATGAGAAATTTGAAAAATCGCTGTTATCTAACAGCCACAATCAGCAATTTATTAACAAACAATAATTCTTCATTAGAAGTATATGATGAGCTTAAAAAAAATCACAGTCAGCTAGCGTATCGGTTTGGCCCCTAGATGGAAAACCTTGGGGCTCAATCTGCATTTGGTAATAATTCCACCAGAGACAATTCCTCATTCAAGTGGACTGATTATGCTCTTTGCCAAATCCTCATTTTTATTGAAGAACTCTACTAGAGTAGCTTTCCACAACTGATGATTTAAAATAATCCTTTCCTTAAAGCTAGCCTCTCTTTAAGACAATTTTTCTGCCCCTCAAACAACAAAATAGGAAGTGGGCGGTGCCCGATATGACCATATTAGGCATCTTTCCCTCTTATTGAAATCATGAAGACACAAGAGTAGAAAAAATGATCTGAAACTATTAGTGTTTTGAGTCATAGGCACTATAGATACATTAGCTGACCTGAGTATTTGAAGGTTTAATGGCTAATATGAGCACCTACCACTGTTTAAAGCAGTGTTATTGTTTTAACCTTTAAACTTCTAACATAGTCTCATTTGTGCTTTCTTGGCCAGGACACTCATCTAAAAGAGTTTTAATCCTCTACCTTTTTTCCTTGTTAAATAAAAATAAATAAGTGAAATAAAGTTAAATACGAATATTCAATAATATTTATTTTAATTCTCCAAATTCTATTATAATAAGACGATGAGAAGCTAGAATGCGGCTAAATGAATAATGAATTATCTCTCATTTATTCCATCTTGGGAGCCAGTGGGCTAAACCAGCTGCTTGAATATGAAATAGATAAAACAAACCCAGGTCTAATTATCATTCATAACAACCTGTAAGGCCCAGGCAGCAAATATCTGCAGAATCAGTATTTTTGCTTGCAGTTTATCTGATAATATTCATACTGTTCCTTGAGTAGGAGTTTGTAAGCACTGCTTTTACTTGTAGATCTTTAAATTGTCATACTGCTACTAAGTAAAGGATCAGAAAAACTCAGGCAAACGACAAATGAGAAAGGTTTCCTGTAGCTTCTCACTGACCATATGGAGTGACTATGGCAGAAGTCCAGGGCAGAGATGATTTGTCTGAAGAACTTCCTGGCCTCTTTGGGGGTGAGCCTACCCTTCTTCACCAGGTAATCAAATAACTCTCCGCCAGATACATGCTCCAACACAAGGTACCTGGGTCACAGACAAGAAATAAGTAACATAAAAAACAAAAGGTTTATCTCTGCAGTATATCTTCTATGCCATGTGCTTATTTATCTCGCTTTTGTCTTACAGAACATTCTTCCCTTTTTAATTCAGTGTTGTTTCTGCTGTAGCAGAGATCCAGAAGCAGATTATTTTATGTCAGCAGAAAGGAGAAAGACACAGAGATGTACTCACAGGTATTTGTTATTTTCATAGACATCATGCAGCTTCAGAACATGAGGGTGCTCTATTAGTTTAAGAATAGCTATTTCTCTCTCCACCTGCACAGACGGAGGGAGGGAGAGGTGTAGAGAAAGGTTAAGAGAGAGGGAGAGAGAAAAGAGCAAGTTAGAAATGATAGAAATGGAAATGTCAGACAGAAGAGGAAGGGAAATATGATGTAAGACAGCAAGAGGGAGGACACAAGCATATAAAAAAGTTGGGTAAGAATTCAGAATAGGCAGACTTGTTTTTCAACTTCTTTTCAATAGTTAGCTAATAGCTAATGTAGCTAATAGCTACATTTAGTGCAGAATAATCAGAAATAGTAACAAAGCAGAGATGCAATACACAAATTATAATTTAGAACAAAAAGTTCTGAAATTGAAATTGTTAAGAAATCCTGAATCAAATGTGCCCTGTTCTAATACCATTATTTACTTTGCGCAAGCTAGTAAGCAGGTCAAAGCCGTAGTAAGCTAGCTCCATTATGCTAGTTACTAATCAAAATGCTAGTTTAAAGCCTGTGTCTTATCTAAACTTTCATGAAGATAAAGACTTGGCATGTACAGAGTGTGACTGTGAATTTCTGGGCCACTATCCAAGTTAAAAATAACAGTTTGGCACAGCCGTTTCTCTTTTGTTTTGTTTGTTTGTCTTTTAACTTTTAATTATAGAAAAATAACCAAACCTTTTAAAAGTATTTTAGCTCTTCACCACACCATCTCTGAACATTTTAACTAGTGCAAAATTGATGTGTCACCGTACATAAACGTCTACCGCTGCAGTAAATATCATCTTACTTTGACAATACGCAGATATTGTTCAAGAAGGCCCGTATTAGCTTATAGAGCTATGCTGACAAATTATTAGTGCATCCCTTTTTGAGCCTGTGTTTTGTTTTGTTTTTTTGTTACTTCTGCTTTATGGATGAATAACATTTACAACTCATAGCTAACAAACCTCCAAAGAAATACATAATTACGTAATTTTGCTGCTAACATTTTAGCCTCTTTTAGCAAGCAGCTTCTTAGCTAGCAGGGCTACTATGGTTGAGTCATTTTGTCTCTCAGAGACCATAGTTCAAATTCCACACAGAATTAATAATTGATGTCAATGATGTTTGGTTAGCATCTGAAAACCAAAATTATTTTCTAGGTTTATGAGACCAGGCCGTGTCAGTTGATTCCAGGAGCAGTTTTCTGTATAACTTATATAGTTACATTTTTTTTTATTAATCTTTGATCAGTCAAATATGATGAAACCAACGCAAAAGCTAGTTTTTCTGTCTAAAGGCCATTCTCAAGATTTATCTGACTAAATTCAGTACTTGTACTTCCTTAGACATATTATATCATATCATATTAGCTATTGCTAAACTTTTTATGCTTATTGCTTATGTTTTATTACAATACATGAAAATATGGATGCCTATTTTTTAAAAGAAATGTAATTTTAAGTGTTCCTTTTAAATATTTATTCATTCATTCAGCTCTAGTAGCTGTCCACAGCATGACCTATTATAGAGCAGAACACGTGGCAGAGAACTAGGCGCAGCATTGATTTTCCTTCCACACTGCCAGATTGATTGCTGGACAGTAAATTCGTGTCATGTCTACTGTCTTTTAAATACTTTACAGCTGAAAAATATAGTCTGAAATGCCCTAAAAGTTTAAACAAAGACCTTTGTGAAGCCATTTAAGGACTACTTGTTGTCTCTGTAAAACACATCTATGAAAAACTGCTTGGTTTAATTGAATACAACAGGACTGTGACGCAAGAAATATATTTTAAGACAGCATAAAACTAAACATATATGAAAAAGTCTAGAGCCACACAGCGATATCTTTATATTTTGGTAGGAAATTGGGAAATATGAGCAGCAATTTATTGAAACATTCAAAAATGTACAGCAATACAGTATATGACATAAAAATATTGGTCATACTAAATATAAGTCAGTATTTAGTATGACCACATTTATTCTTCACCATAGTCTGAACTCTCTGAGGCCATTTTCTTGTAATTTCTTAAACTAGTCTTCAGGAATAGTCCTCAAGGCTTCTTGAAGGACATCAAAAACTTTTCTTTGGAA